AATTTAGTTTGCACGGTCTAAATTTAGTTTGCACGAAAGTTGTAAACAACACCATATAAGGATAGACATTCCATATTTGGAAAAACGAACGTTACGGGGCAGATATTCAAATTCATCAAATGCAGGCTTGAAATTAAAAAAAAAAAAGAATAAATAAATAAAAATAAAAAAATAAAATAAAAAAATTCATCAATTCAGCTTGAGAGCCTGTTCGCAGGCTATGGTGAGTATGATTATAGAGATTCCTTATAGGTAGATTTTACCCCAGAATCTTGACTTAGATGATTAGCCATTAGAGTGAGTTGAAGTCGAAGCTTTCCATTCTGCACTCAAAAGCACAGTATCAAAATATATGAATACTGGGTTGATGCCAAATTATTGTCTTCTGTCTATCAAGACTCAAGTGGAGAGTGCTAATGTATTGATGGTCATTTATAAGACAAATCATAAATTAATCTAGCTTTCTTTGTATTACATGCACATTGGCTTTTTATCACATTTCTGGTAGCCAATGCTGAATGAACAAAATCCATGGATTGAGTTGCATTGCATCTTGATGCACCCCGCTTTATTATTTTACCCTGTCTAATGCCAGACGATTTTACTTGTCAAGGGGAAACACTGGTACTTACTGGATTAAAGACAATAAAATAGGGACGTAGGCACATTACCTCATTAATCACCAGCACTCCCACTCACAAATATGTCTGGCAATCGACATTAGACAGGAATACAATAAAGTAGGAGTGCAATGCAACTTCATGGGTTAACATTTTCCTGTGTGACCATGATTTCTGGGTAGTGATGCACCAACTAAATTGAAATGTCAGTAATTTGATGTCATCTTTGAATTTTGTGTAATGACATGGAATATTGGTGTCAGTATCTGAAAAATATCAGTCTTTCAGTATCGGTTATCGGAATATCAGTGAACCTTACACGACTATTTCTGGGTTAGCATGTTACTAGCTATAATTTGGTCTAAGGTTGGAGCCATAGTCATAGTGAATCAAATTTTTCCTATGAAAACAAATATTAATTAAATAATCTATCTGTAATTATTCATTATGTAGGATGGAGTTTACAATGCGATAAAGAATCTTTGAACATGGTAGATGCTTACTAAAATGCAAGGGTGATGTTGTCGGTACTGTACAGTATTTGTGATCTAATATGCTACTGGCTCATTCCTGATTCCAGAAAACATTCATGGTTTACCTCAGTTTACTTGTTTAACCCATTATGTGACAGCACTGGCAAGTAAAACAATAAGACATTATGATATTCATATATACAGTAAATGTGTTGCTGTGCATGCATATTTTACACATAATTTTTTGTAGTGACTAGTGGTGGGTATTGTCACACCAAAGTGCCCAGCATCTTGTAAATATTTTAATGTAATGTTTAACTTCATGTAAATACACCTTTTTAAACTTGCATTGTGTGATTATTTGAATATGTCTAATGAGCAACGATAAAATGGTGCTGTCCTCAGAATCAAAACATCCCCCTTTTGAAATAGCTAAACAGCCCCTTTTAAAGAGCCGAAATAGCCCCTTTTGAAAGAGCCAAAACGGCCCCTTTTGAAACCACCAAAATGGCCCCTTTGAAAGAGCCAAAACAGCCCCTTTTGAAAGAGCCAAAACAGCCCCTTTTTCGAAGAGCCAAAACAGCCCCACGTAGAGCTAAATTGGCCCTTTTTTGAGAGCTGAAATTGCTATCATTCTAATTATAAGATCGAAAACAGCCCTTTGAAAGAACCAAAATGGCCCCACATAATAGCCAAAATCGCCCTTTAATAAGTAGCCAAAATGGCCCTATTTTAATGGGGCCAAAACGGCCCCATTAAAATGGGGCCGTCTCAGGGTCAAAATTTTGGCCCCATTTTAGGGGCCAAAATGGCCCTTTTGAAATTACTGTGTAAACTCTGTTTAATTCCTACAATTTATAGTGTAAGGATTACACTTTCCAATTTTGCTATCCTTTGACAGTACAACGTAACTGTCTTGCGGTACTATTTTTTTTATAAATTTGGCGCCTACCTTTTAACCTTAAATTATACACATTGTTCACACATCTGGCTTTCGCAATTTCCAGGAGAGTGAATGGCATGAGTAAATACAACAAATAGTATTTTGAATACATTGTTGCTCGTCCTGTTATCAACGCTCTAAAATATAGAAACGACTGATAGTACTTTTTTGTAAAATTAGAAGAAGCAAAGGTTTATTTTAAATAACATTGGATGAAACTACATAATAAATTGAACTACATACACGTACTTTCACGGCCAAATCTCAGCCATACGCTTCACGATTAGAGAATGTATGTTGTAGTGTTGTACAATTGTTTTGTTAGTTTTCAATGCAAGCTGTTATCAATGGCGTACTAATGAATATTGCCAAACGTGATGCTTTACCTTAAACATTTCCTAATTTCCACACGCGTAATACGAAAAGGCACTTGCCACTGCATAGGAGAACCTTTGCGCAGAATTTGGTATCATAGGTAATTAAAAATACAATGGCGGATATTCAAGCGAGATCATGTACAAAATATATCGCAAAATATAAATTCCCTAAATTTCGACTTTCAGCTGTTAAATTTTACGCGGCTTATCAGAATTGGTAAGATTTTAAAAACATGGGAAAATCGTTTATAGTTTTAAGAAAACTCGGATGCAGGTTTTGCTTTAAAAAGAGCAAAAAAACAGACGTGACCGCAGACTTTGTTACATTACATTACATTATTATTCAGATCACACGCCATTGTGGCTTTCAGTGACCGATTACATCAAGTATAATTACGTTCATGTTACTTACTTAGCCTTCACAGAAAAAAACGCTCAGGTTGATGCAATACTGATGAAAACAGGATTAAACAATGTTTTGCTGCCTACATTGTTCATAGCTGTCAACAATATTGTTGAACCCGATTGAACAATATTGTTACACCCGATTCAGGCTCAACAACGTTGTTCAATATTGTTGACAAGTGTGAACAACGTGGGCAGCAAAACATTGTTCAGTCCTGTTGAGCAACGGGCTCGGCGTTTTTTGCCGTGTAGACTATTTATCTTTACAACTATTGAGATATTACTTTCCTAACTGTGTTCATCCTAACTCACCCTGTCAACTTTCCCTGTGGTAGGAAACCGGAGTGACCTCAGAAAACCCACGACTTTCGGCAGAGCGTTGACAGACTCTTTTCACATGAGTCCATAGGAATCGAACCCACCAATCTCGTGGGGTTGCGAACCCACAATCACAGAGGTGAAAGGCACTTGCTCTGAAACTGCGCATATTGTAAGCCATTAGGCCAATGATAACTTAGTTTGGGTTCTTAATGTTTTGTTTAATATTTTTGATTGTGATGATCATTTTAAAAGTATTTGTTACTGTAAAATGTGCTGCTTTATACACAGTTATCCGCTCTATACAATGTTTTAGTACATAAATCTATTTACATAAAACTTGTTCTCCTATTAACTATGACAAGTTTTTATCTGACAAGTTTTATTTTTCAATTGCTTACGCGTAGGTGCAACAAAATTTCTATTCACAAGTTTTAGTTTTCTGACAACCATGATAGCTATTATTAGATGAGTCCATAGGAATCGAACCACTATAATCGAACAGGATGACTCTGACAGCAGAGCCAGTGCCATCAGTAGCTTGCGACCATTCATGATCCATGAATGGTCGCAAGCTACTGATGGCACTGGCTCTGCTGTCAGAGTCATCCTGTTCGATTATAGAAAAGCATTCGACCTTATCGATCATGCTTTACTGGCTGATAAAATTTCCAATTTAGCTATTCCACGTGCGGTTGCTCGCTGGACAATCGATTTTTTGATGAATCGAAAGCAGAGAGTGAAATTATCCAATGACTGTTATTCGGAGTGGGGTGATGTACTCTCCGGTATCCCTCAAGGTACAAAATTAGGGCCCTGGCTATTTTGTTTAATGATAAACGATCTTGATATTTGTGATATATCGAGGTGGAAGTTTGTTGATGACACAACAGTTGCTGAAGTAGTTAGTAAGGACACAGAGAGCCGTGTTCAAGTCGCAGTTGATGTTGTGGAAGATTGGTCGAAGGCAAATGGGCTATCTCTTAACGCTGAGAAATGTAAAGAACTGAGAATCGATTTTAAAAAAATTAAACAACCTTTTGATCCTGTACTGGTGGGTGGAGAAGCATTGCCTATAGTTGAGAGTGCAAAAATATTGGGTCTTGTTATGACAGGCACACTTCAGTGGAAAGATAACATCAGAGAGAGTATAAAGAAAGCTAATAAACGCCTCTATTTTATAGTATTATTGAAACGGGCAGGCGTAAATGTCAAAGATGTTTTGAACTTTTATTGTACAGTGATCAGGCCTGTGCTCGAGTATTGTGCGCAAGCCTTCCATCATTCCATCCCAAAGTATTTGGCAGACGAACTTGAGACTGTCCAGAAACGTGTGCTAAAAATTTTATCTCCTGAAATGACATATTGTGAGGCCCTTGAGCATTATAGACTGCCTACTCTATTTCAAAGAAGAGAGGACATGTGTGACAAACTCTTTACGAGTATCATCAAGGATCCAATGCATAAACTTCATCATCTGCTGCCCCCGAAGAACGAGACTGATCATTCTTTCAGGACGAATCGGTATTTTAATATGTACGTTACACGCACGAACCGCTTTTATAACTCTTTCATCCCTGCTATGTGTAGGAAGTTTGTAGGATAGATTTTATGCTTATTTTAATCGAATTTTGATCGCGGGTGGGTTTTATAATATTGTATTAATAATATATTTATATGTAGTGCATGTGATAATATGTAATCCACGCAATTCAGCTTCTGGCTGCAATGTGGTTTCAATTTAATAATAATAATAATAATAATAATAAAACCTATAAGCTATATATACACTTTCCGATAACGACAAAACGTGTACGTGGATGCCAATATAAACAATTTTTAACAATAATATTACAAAAATAGACATGAACCAATCGCATGCAAGTGCTCAGATTACCTTGCCAAATGTACTTGTACGAAAATTGGCCTTTTTGAACAAGGGTGTACTGGTCACAATGCATATACTGCTACGAGCAAATGAAACTTGTCATGTGACTAAACTTGCCATAGAAAACGCGCACGTCTGTAACCGAAAGCGTTGATGCTTTTTATGTATCGAAGTACATTATTGCAGGGACGTCAAATATTTTTTATTCAAATATCGTATATTACACGTGCACGGAACTGATGTTACACAAACCTACTAGAAAATAGCATGTAAAAGTCCGCCTACTGGGATTTAATGCTTTGAAGAGGAGTATGATGGATCTACTGTTGTTAAACCATTAGGTCATTGCGAAAATATTATCCGTATAAGCTCAGTCCTGAGAAAATATCATCTTGGGCTTAATTTAACAGTATTCCTGTAAGTTCCAACATGAATCGAGAACTTAATTGCTAAAGCGTCGATCAAGACGCACCGCTTAATGACTATACATGCATTGCGGCTTAAGGAGGTTCGACATTCTAGTAATCTTCATCAAACCACTAACACATGAACAAACCCGCATGGCTATTCCTACAACCTGACGTGCCGAGTTGTCCACGCAATCACACGCCAGTGCGCAATGCGCGTGTTGTATACAACGTTATGTATATCTATTGCCAACGTTGTTAAAAAATATCCGTCTAATATCTCTTTATTTCGTGCGGTGGTTCAAATTTTCCACACTCTATTGTGACATAAAAGTATTTCGTTATACTAAAACAAAACTCAAAAGAAAATATTATCGAAATAAAGGACAATGTTGCATTTTAAAATTTTTTCGCTTTATTGTTATAGTCTAGCTATGATAAAATAGTGCACGAAAATCAGTTGTGGTCGCGGCGGGTTAATTATTCCCAACTATACGAAGCATAGGCTATTTAGAGAGAATTGCGTACGCGTGTGCTGTTGTCCTATCGTATAACGTGTTCGGAACGATAATTTAAAAAATGCTTCTTACTCGATTGCTATAATATTTACTAAAATTCATTCGGAAAGGCGTTTTTGAATATTAATTCTCTCCGCCGTCTCTATTGCACAACATAAGTAACAAGTTTCCATATAATAGTAGTTGACCTTGATTCAGAAATACTTGTCGGAAATTTGTTCAAACTAGGGGGACATGACATTATGGTGAATCTGAATAGAGTATTAATTTGAACACTGTGCCATCGTAAGAAGAAAGGTTAAAGATAAATCGTAGGAATGGTGACTTGGAGTATGCGCCTTCCGAATTTATGATGCGATCGTTTATATCGCATCATGAAATTCGCTTGGTATAGCATCGTTCAAATCCTGTTCGAGTTAAATTTTTCCCTTCCCGTTCACATACGCCAAACTTTAAACGAATTAAAAACCTAATTGAAGCTGCCTATTCACCGTTGTAATCAAAGGGGTTTTGTGATAACGAGTAAAGTACGCGCACAGCTAGCGGTACAAATTAATGAATCACGTGAACAGAGGGAACGGTCGAATTTGTGTCCGGTTTCAAAACTTTCCAGTCTCCCATGTGAATCTATAAACCGCATTTGCTTGTGCATGCTATTTACTTATAAAAGTTTGTTTAATTTAAGAACTAAAAATTATCCAGTTTCTTAATTATTGTCGTGCCGTCAATTTGTCTCCTACTTTAATCAGCTTACATTAAAACTGAAAGATTATTAGTATCAGTTCATGTTAAGTAATAGTATACTAAGCAAATTTGCCGTAAAAGTGGAACAATCGCGCATATATGCATGGGGAAATGCAGAAGTATGCCCTCAGGAACCTCAGATAAGCATTTTCCTTAATATGTGCTAAAGGATTCAATTTGCACGCTCTGAGTTGTTTAACTGTTCAATCCTGATGTCAAACATAGTTACATAGTTTTGCAATGTTTTAACTAATCACTTGCATGACTGGGACAGTTGTGCATGAGGTACCTATGCATCACATTATCAGTATGTGTTCGAGAAGGAAAATCGGTAGTTCAAAAGCAGGGCCTTCATAATTAACGTCTTCAACTACGGCAGATAATTTAAGCAGATGCGAGAACACGCACTGTCGAATTAATTTTCTTTAAACATAGTAAGGCCTGTTTTATACGTCGAGTTTTTGTCGCGTCGAATGCAATTAAGACAATAGATAATGAGATGATAAACCTCATTAAGCTTCATTATCTAATGTTTGAATTGCATTCGACGCGACCAAAATTGGACGTATATATAAAACAGGCCTAAGTACCGTTGTATTGACTCACTGCTTGTTAATTATTCATGCATATATACTCATCGGCTACTTGAATAGTATACACTACTTTTAAGTTTTCAAAACACTAAAGTGTTTTACAGAATATATTATTTCAATTTTTGTAAGTATAGCTGGGGGGGGGGGGGCAGCACAACATTTCCCAGCGCTTCAGATTCCAAAATGATTTGATGCGATATTGTTAAATTTCACACGAAAGACGAATACGTCCAAATTAAAAAGTTCAGGATAGCTTTCGACTATCTAAATACGTATCTGGGCAATGACAAAGATGTCGTGCGCCATCTTTTCTTCCTTTCTTTCCTTCCTTCCTTCCTTCCTTCCTTCTTTCCTTTCTTTCTTTCTTTATTTCTTTCTTTAATTTCTTTCTTTCTCCCAAACAGGGCACGGGCAGTGTGCATGTGCAAATCGATTTACATCCCATAATCAAAGAATTAAGCAAACGTTTTAGTTTAAATTCGCTCATTGCAAGTACAGTATGTGTGTCCGTTTTTTAGTGTAAACTGAAATCATGGTATTGCAAACCACCTCCCTCGGCTTTCGGGGACATTTAATCACTAATTTCCCTCATATCATGGTGCTACTTATGATGAATATATGAAAAATACTCGTACTTTGGGAACTTTATTTCATCATTTTTAATCCGAAAAGAAAGCCTGAACCTTACTGATAAACAATATCCGGTATAAGGGCGACCGGATGCCGGATAATAGGTTGATCTTTCTATCTGGCCGGATACGATATCCGCTGCATCTGTAACTGCCACACACAAACACAATGGCCGTTAAACTCACATCCGATGAACTGGTATCGGACATGGACTTCTGGAAATTCTAACGCTGTCTTGAAATGGCATTGTATCGTGATTTGAAAAAAGAATTGATGATAGTCCAATGGCATAACTAAATTTTTTGGCTAAAACAGGATTACTTCCAATTACCAATAATGAAAATGTTCCCCTTAGAATATTTGAAAAAGATCAGACAGAATGATATATTAGAAATCTAATTCCCTGGATTTTCCACACTTTTATAACTTCGCTTTGAAAAAAATTAGAAAAGCAAAATGACACCAAACTTCGATAAGCCACCTTAAGTATTTACAAACATGCTGTGTGATGTTACTCTGAGTGTATATCCACACCGGGCAGGCTTGAAAAATATGCCTGGCCACGGTGGGATTCGAACCTACGTCCTTTGGAATACCAGGTCGTAGGTTCGAATCCCACCGTGGCATCTTATTCACCTGAGTAATATTAAGTATTTAAGTAATATTTTATTATTGATTGGTTGAGATAGTTGTAGTTAGGTTTTTTGAATTTGTATTTTGTATTGTTATAGTTGGTGCGATAATCGTCCGATTTTTACAGACTTAATAAAATGTAGATGTAGATGAGAACATTGCACCAACACAGCAAATATCATATTTACAAATAATCTAC